GACAACGACTGAATTCATCAAGAAAACCAACATTTGTGTTCATTGATCATCGAGATGTGTATTTGTGGCAGATTTTCAGTCTCAGCAGATGTTGTTAAAACAGCTGTAGCAGTACAGAGCTGTCCTGTGGAAGTGTTGGTGATGTGACGCCATAATTGGTTGTTTATGCCTCATCATTTTTCAGGTGGTGGAAGTTTTGATGATTCCGACTTGTTTGATGTGAGCGGTGGAGACTACAAGCCTGATGGAGGCCGCTCAGGAGGTACGATGACGGTTATTTTATGTTATTTTATTGTGATTGCGCTTTTTACATCTCTGTTGTGGCTCCAGTGTAACCCTAAATCACAGGTGTCCAACTCCAGGCCTCGAGTGTCCTGCAGGTTTTAGATGTGACCTTGATCCAGCACAGCTGGTTTAAACGACTAAATGACCTCCTCAACATGTCTTTACGTTCTCCAGAGGCCTGGGAATGATGTGATTCAGGTGTGTTGGCCCAGGGTGAGGAGTTGGACACCCCTGGGATAAATAATCAGGATGTTACTCGCTGTGATTCCAGCTGTTTACTGCTGGTGTTTGCAGCTCACCTTTGATTATATAAACGACAGACGGCACTATGATACGGTCTAAATCTGCACTGTAGCTGATAAGTATGTTTTTACTGCTGTTATGCAGTTTTTGTTCCCATGTGTGAGTCAGATTCAGTGGTTCCAGTTTTTTAGGAAACATTTTGGAGTTTGTGCAGTTCTTCCTGTCTATTGTTGTGTTTTGTTGCCCTTCACTACCGCTGACTCTGCCCGGCTGCTACAATGGTTTCATGTGTCACTGGAGGACAACAACACATTGATATAATGTCACAGTAATGTTGACGCCCTGTGGCTCTTCTCCAACACTGTTTCATTATTTATCCCTGATGTTGTCTCGAGGGAACTGAAGTTACGTAAAGACAAAAGAGACCGTCTTCATCTGCAAACATGAGCAACATCTTTTTATTTTTAGTCTTTATTGCAGTAGATTTTTTATCATTGAGGTTGATGCATTTTGGCCCTTTATTTGTTATTTAATGAGTTTCCTGCACATCTGTTTGACCCTTCCATGCATGAATTATGACAACCTCACTCTGGATGGTTTTTATTCATCTTTAGGCAAGAAAAAAGATTTTTGAACTTCATTTTTTAAACGTGTACTTTTCAGAGTTTGTTACATCCACTTAGGTAGACAACAGGCACACGAATGAACAATATACACTGTGTAAAAACTATAAAATAACTCAAATATTTTTAATAAAAAACATGTCAATATAACAGCATGTATATAAACTATAATAAATATGGTTTATGTGCAAGTATACCATCAACACTGACAGACGTACAAGCAAACAGCCTTTGCATAGCTGCAGTGACCGCTGTGTGTGAAAGGTTAAAAAGCTGTGATGGAGCTTTTGGAGGTTTGATTATGGGATGTAAAAGCATTTTCACGTTGTTGTTTTAGACTTGAAGTGGTGACCAGAACTAGAAAGGTGCTACGTTAGGACCAGTCTGAGGTCCTGTGAAGATCAATACTGAGCTGCTGACCTTTAAATGACTAGAAGCTATTTGTTACCACCAGTTTACCAAAGGACAGATCAAAACATCGTCTATCAGAACATCTGCAATGTTGTTTCTTCTTATCATTGAAAAAATGAAAATACAGGAAAACAAGTGTAGATCTTTTTGGTTTTTAATTCCAAAGTATTATCTCCTAGACCAG